TGCAACAAAGAAAAAATAGCCGGGCATTGTGGAGGGTGCCTTGTAGTTCCAGCTACTCGGGAGGCTGAGGCAGGAGAATCACCCAGGCCCAGGAGTTGGAGGTTGCTGTAGGCAGTGACGCTACAGCACTCTACCCAGGGCGATAGTGTGAGACTCTGTCTCTAAAAAAAAAAAAAGAAGTGCAAGTAATGAAAAATTGAGTCACCTGTCCTACCATGTTTCCAGCTGATGTCTAACTCAATGCTCTGCATTATTGTTTAGTTTTTCATACTGTAAACAAGTATCCTTTTCATGTTCACATAGTGTCACTTCTTTCACATTTTTGTGCTTTTTGTTAGTGATTTTACTGTTTAAAATGCAAATGGCTTAGTGCAGAAGTGTTGTCTAGTATTCCTAAGTGCAAGAAAACTGTAATGTGCCTTACAGAGAAAGTATGTGTGTTAGGTAAGCTTGTGCAGGCATGAGTTGTAGTGGTGTTTGGCTGAATTCAATGTTAATGAGTCAATAATATATATCAAATAAGATATCCTTAAATAGAAACATACACAAAACAAGGTTATGTATTAATTATTTGGGAAAATCTTGTGACCAAAGGCTCATAGGGATCTAATGCTATATTTCCCCCAGGAACAGTGGGTTACTAATTCTCTTACTTTATTGTCCACTGTAACTTTGTAACATAAATACTGTAAATAATGAATCAGCTGTATCTTTAAAGGAAAGAAGGAACTTCAGCAGTGTGTGTATTCATCTTTGATGATAGCCCTCTTTTTCTAATTCCTGGAGTTTTTTCCACTTGCTATCTATAAAAAGAAATAAAAAAAATTTTACTACAGGGCAGCACCTGTGGCTCAGTGAGTAGGGCGCCAGCCCCATATACCGAGGGTGGCAGGTTCAAACCCAGCCCTGGCCAAACTGCAACAAAAAATAGCCGGGCATTGTGGTGGGCACCTAGCGTCCCAGAGCTACTTGGGAGTCTAAGGCAAGAGAATCGCCTAAGCCTAACTAAGAGCTGGAGGTTGCTGTGAGCTGTGATGCCATGGTATTCTACCCAGGGCAACGAAATGAGACTCTGTCTCTAAAAAAAAAAAACAAAAAATGACAAAACTGATGCATATTCTTTGTAGAAAATTCAGAAAGCATACCTGGGCATTGTGGCAAGGGCATGTAGTTCCAGCTACTTGGGAGACTGAGACAAGAGGTTCACTTGAACCCAGGACTTTGAGCTTGCTGTAAGCTATGATGCCCTGCACTCTACTGAGGGTGACAAAGTAAGACTGTGTCTCAAAAAAAAAGGACTCACTCATGGTTTGACTTGAGTAGTTGTGCTTGAAGGACTGCCCAAGCTAGAAGAGCCTCCTGTGTTCACTATGGTCCTGGCTCTGTGCTTCAAAGCTTCAGGTTTCTGTCCTCAGCCTTTACCCCTGAGAAGGCACTGCCTTTCCCTTGCCTCCAGGTTAGAAGCAAATATTAGGAAATTCAGATGAGTATTTTGGACCCAGTGAAGATCTCTAGCACAATAAATTTGAAACTTTCAAGTTTTTAATTATTGACTCTGGCTCTGACAGGCTGGCGTGCTCTCTGCCTTGGGCTCCTTGGGGTTGATGATTTGGCTGATGGCAACACCTCATACTCATGAAACTGAGCAGAAAAGACTGGGACTTCTTGCTGGATTTGCTTTCCTTACAGGTATATTAAGGGATTGGTCTAATTTTGAGGGGGGAGCTATATTTTTAGTTTCTTCTTCAACTAAATCTCAAGAATTTTATTTGCTGTTGGCCTACCGTGTCCTTAGGTTCCACATCTGCTTCATATTCAACCAACTGGCTCGGTGCCTGTGGCTCAAGTGGCTAAGGCACCAGCCACATACACCTAAGGTGGTGGGTTTGAATCCAGCTTGGACCTGCCAAACAACAATGACGGCTGCAACCAAAAAATAGCCAGGCATTGTAGCGGGCGCCTGTGGTCCCAGCTACTTGGGAAGCAGAGTCAGGAAACTCGCTTGAGCCCAGGAGTTGGAGGTTGCTGTGAGCTGTGAAGCCAGAGCACTCTAGCCAGGGGGACAGCTTGAGGCTCTGTCTCCAAAAAAAAAAAAAAAGATTCAACCAACTACAGGTTAAAAATATTTGGGGACGGGGGATAAAAACAATCAAAAATAATACAAATAGGGCTGGGTATGGTGGCTCACGACTATAATCCTAGCACTCTGGGAGACCGAAGCAGGAGGATCACCTGAGCTCAGGAATTCAAGACCAGCCTGAGCAAGAGAGTAAGACCCTGGTTCTAAAAATGGCCTAGCATTGTGGCAGGCACCTATAGTTCCAGCTACTTGGGAGGCTGAGGCAAAAGGATTGCTTGAGCCCAAGAGTTTGAGGTTGCTTTGACCTATGATGCCATGGCACTCTACCAAGGGCAACAAAGTGAGACTCTGTCTGAAAAACAAACAAAAAAACCAAATAATCCAATATAACAGTAAATTACATAGCATTTACATCATTAATGTTAGGTATTTTAAGTAATTTAGAGATGATTTATAGTATCCAGGAGGATATGTATAGATTATATGCAAATACTACACCATTTTATATAAAGAACTTGAGTGGGTGTCACCGTGGCTTGGTGGGTAGGACGATGCCCCCATATACGGCAGGTTCAAACCCAGCCCCAGCCAAACTGCAACAAAAAAATAGCTCAATGTTGTGGCGGGTACCTAGAGTCCCAGCTACTCGGGAGGCTGAAGCAAGAGAATTGCCTAAGCCCAAGAGCTCGAGGTTGCTGTGAGCTGTGACACCACAGCACTCTACTGAGGGCGACAAAGTAAGACTCTGTCTCGAAAAAAAAGAGAGAAAGAAAGAAAAAGAAATAAAACTTGAGCATCCTTGGATTTTGGTATGGTAGGGGTGGAAGGGAAAGGTTCTAGAACTGGTCCCCTGAGGGTACTAAGGAGAAGCTATATTTTGATTTACTTCAGCTGGCATACTTTCTTGTCTGCCTATTCGAATTGTACAATTCCTTTGGAAGACTTCTTTTTATAGAATCTTCCCTGAAGTATCTCACTCAGCTGTGATTTCTCCCTTCTGGTTTCTATAGCACTGAACTCTCTAATCTTATACAGTAGTTCTCTCTTATCTGCAGTTTTGCTTTCCTCAGTTTTAGTTACTTAATGTGCAGTGTAATAAGATAATTTGAGAGAGAGAGGAGGACCACATTCACATAACTGTTACTAAACTTTATCATAGGGTATATAACTTTTATTAAACTTTATCATAGGGTATATACGTATAGGAAAAATCATAGCATATATAGGGTTTGGTACTATGCAAGGTTTAAGGCATCCATGGAGGGTCTTCGAACATATCCCCCTCAAATGAAGAGGATCTACTGTATTTGAGTTTATTTGCCTTGTAGTGCTTTCTTGAGAGTTTGTTTGTAGGTTCCAGTAGGAGAAAGCAGCTACTTGCATACCTCCAGGAGAAGGGTCCTGGCTTTGGGAAGGACACATGGAATGGTGAGGGAAGAAGGGTTCATCTGGCTGGCTAGGTGGGTGTCCAATTGTCAGCCTAATCAACCCTGCTGATCAGTGGGGTGATGTCAGGCAGATTGCCCTCCCATCCTGCTTTATTTTATGTAGGTTCATCTTCCCGATTCACAGAGGAAGAAGCTCTTTGTGACTAGGAACTGCGACTTCTATTTTTGTACCCAAAAATAGGCATTGTGTGCTTGAGTGAATGACGTTTAAAGCTTAGGTAGCATAACTTGTTAATGGTAGACAGGCAACTAAACTAGGGCTGTGAATCTGACTCTGTTCAGATTCTTGCAAATAGATACATAAAGCCATATATTGAGATCCATCAGTCAGGACACCTTGCCGATTCTCAAGAAAAGAATTAAAAGTTAAGTTCTTCTAGAGCTGTCATTAAAGGAAAAAATACCCTAGCTATATAACAAAAATACTTGCAAAGCAACATTTGACTTAGTACAGCTTGTTCTGACTGATAGTCTAATCTATGCAGTGTTGTAGAAATTTTAGAAAGGAAAGGATTTAGGGATTAAGGTTTTTTTCATCAGGGAAAGCTAGTTTCTGATGGCATTAAGCGGTAGAAAATAATCAGAAGGTGTGAGGAAAGTAACCAGAAGGGAAGAAATATTGGAGCTGGAACAGGTTGTCCTCCTGTTGGCAAGTATCCACCTGCAGAACTGTCTGGCCCTTGCTACAAAGGGAGTCAGTCCTGTGTGACTACAGGGTTGCTGGCCACAGGAGCTGCTTTGCTCTTTGTCCTTTTTTTCTATTCTAATTCTAGATCTGGCCCACATTATAAACTCAACACCACTCTAGCTCAAAAATGTTTAACATGTATGGTTCTTTATTTTCTAATTTGTGTTCCTCCTGGGGTCAGCTATGATTATCAACTAAGAGAACGATTTGCAGCTATTTCTGTGAATAAATAACTCAAGTATACATTCCCTTGAAAATGATTGAGAGATTTAATTAGTCTATGTGTTTAAGTAGCATGAATGTGTCTAGGCTATTAATGATCAGCTATTGGATAAGAATTGATGGTAATATCTTATGCTGGGCTTTTTTGTTTTTTAGGAGTTGGCCTGGGCCCTGCCCTGGAGTTGTGCATTGCCATCAATCCCAGGTAACTGTTCTAGTATTCTCTTATGTCTTTTGCCTTTATGAATATGCCTTTTAAATATAGGCCATATCTCTGTAGCCCTCAATCTTATGGTGTTTTTCTTTAATAGCATCCTTCCTACTGCCTTCATGGGTACAGCAATGATCTTCACCTGCTTCACCCTGAGTGCGCTCTATGCCAGGCGTCGCAGCTACCTCTTTCTGGGAGGTAAGTATTGGCTGGGAAATGGGGAACGAGGCTCCACTTTAGCCAGAATTCTTACTAGGACTCATTCCCTATCTCAGCTGCCTTGTGACTATTGAGCTGAAATTAAAAGCCTTCATTGTGTGGCAGCGCCTGTAGCTCAGTGGGTAGGGCACTAGCCACATACACTGAGGCTGGCGGGTTCGGTTTGAGCCTGGCCCAGGCCAACTAAAACAACAATGACAACTGCAACAAAAAAATAGCCGGGTGTTGTGGCAGGCGCCTAATAGTCCCAGCTACTTGGGAGGCTGAGGCAAGAGAATCACTTAAGCCCTAAGTTAGAGGTTGCTGTGAGCTGTGATACCATGCTATTTTACCCAGGGCAACAGCTTGAGACTCAGTCTCTAAAAATAAAAATAAATAAATAAAAGCCTTCATTGTTTGGAAAAGTAAGGAACAACCTTAATGGGATTGCTTTACTTTGCATTGGCTTCTCTCAAGAAGAAGCTATGTGTCTTCTGTTGTGTCTTCCAGGTATTTTGATGTCAGCCATGAGCCTGATGTTCTTGTCTTCCCTGGGAAACCTTTTCTTTGGATCCATTTGGCTTTTCCAGGTAAGACTTTGCATAAAACTTTCTAGCAGCCATTTGCCTCACACTGTTTTCTTTTATACTTTATCTGCCCTTTGGGCAGTGTTCCCTGAACCTTCCCACCTAACCTTCATAAGGTGGAGTCTGTTGCCATAAGTGAATGTACAGGTGAACGTGGCTGGGCATTGCTAAGAGAAGATGGTTTGTTCAGAGATCATTTGTCTAAGCCAGTTCAGCAGTGGCTCCTTGTTAAAATGGCTGAAGCTCTTCCAGTGACCTAAAAAATGAATGCAGGATTTTGCTGGGGAAGTAATGTGGTCCTTACCATAGACATCAGTTCCCATGAGTGTTAATGTCGGTATCAATAGCATGTGATGTACTTTTGAATGGCCAGGAACCAGAAAGTATGGCTGGCTGGGTTTTTTTCTCTACAGCTTGTACTATGTGATAACTTCATCTCATTCTTTTGTTAGGCAAACCTGTATGTGGGGCTGGTGGTCATGTGTGGCTTTGTCCTTTTTGACACTCAACTCATTATTGAAAAAGCTGAAAATGGAGATAAGGATTATATCTGGTGAGTGTGAGAACTGGTCTTTAAGGAAGGTGGAGTGGAGTGAAGGTTGAGGCATAGCATTCCATTCTTCAACTGAACTTAGGCTGGCATTGGCTGCACGTAGGTGCCCAGTTTTGAGAATGTCTGTGGTAGGAATCCATAGTCTCCCTCAACTCCTGAAAGATACCAGGTTTTCAGAAAACAAGACTAATTATATGCATTTATCCATAGGTTTTTTTTTTTTAGCAGTTTTTGGCCATGGCTGGGTTTGAACCTGCCACCTCCAGCATATGGGGCCGGCACCCTACTCCTTAGAGCCACAGGCACTTCCCAGGTTTTTTTTTTAAATACAGTCTCACCATGTTACCCTTGGTAGAGTGCTGTGGCGTCATAGCTCACAACAAATCTCAAACTCTTGGGCTTAAGCAATTCTCTTGCCTTATTCTCCCAAGTAACTGTGACTACGGGTGCCTGCCACAACACCTGGTGTTTTGTTTTGTTTTTTTGGTTGTAGTTGTCATTGTTCGGCAGGCCTGGGCTGGGTTTGAACCCGCCAGCTCCGGTGTATGTGGCTGGCGCCCCAGCCGCTGAGCTATAGGTGCTGAGCTATATCCATAGTTTTAATAGTGACTATCTCCAGGCAGGGGAGAGGAGAAGGGATCTTTCTCCTTTTACACCTTATGCTGCTGGGTTCCCTTTTTTTTTTTTTTTTTTTTTT